CGGCTGCGCCCGAGCGCGCTGCGGCCCCTGGAGCTCCCGGCCGCCGGCTCCACCCCGCCCCCTGGCGCTGGGCTGACGTGTCTTTAGCTTCCACGCCGGAAGACCTCCTTCATTCATTCGCGGAAACCCTGGTTCTCTGCTCGCCTGGACTCTCAGAGCGGCCTTTCTAGTGGCCCCCTCCCGTTTTATGGCCCCTGAGCCCAGCGTCACCGGGGGTCTTGATTTTTCCCGAACGCCCCATCCTCCCCTGCTTGTCCAGCCCTACTCCCCGGCTGGGTGAAGAATCCTAGGGGGTGTCCGTTACTTGAGCCCTCCTTTTTCTCTCCTTTCTCTTTTGTAACTGTTTTTTTGTTTTGTTTTGTTGTTTTGTGGAAGCATCGCACTGTCCTGAAAAAATATAAACTACTTGGAGTTTTCCGTTTTTTCCCGTAGGTTTATTCCTTCCACCTGTTAACCTGGTGTGAAAGTAACTTAGAACGTTAAAAATGTGGACACTTGGCTTCATAACCCGCTTCTATCATGAACTTTTCCTCCGTGAAATTTAGTCTAAATAATTGTTGGAATTCGTTTTATTCTGTAAGTTTAAGTAAGCTGTGTAGCAAAATGAATAAGTGACAGGTATCCGTGAGTTCAAAAGAAGAGGAGTGCACTGACTGACTTCTGTATACTGGATAGGAAACCAAGTGGGAGAATTAACCAAACTGTTAAGTCACTTGCAAGTTTAAAAAGGAATTCTTTTCAATTAGGAGTTGCTTTGTTTTCACTTTCTTTACGAATATTTGATAATCGTTTTTGTCTGAAATCTAAACTATATTTTTAAAAGCTTTAGAACACTAAGAAACATCAATTCAGTATCTAAATTTAACTGAATTTCTTTGGACATTTTTGTGTGTGTGCTGAATGACCTATCTTTCAAAAGATGATTCTCTTAATTTTTCCAATAGCAAACTGTTAGACCTTATAGGCACAAAATTGTTACTGGTTAGCATTAAAACAAATTGTTTAATAAACTTAGGGTGAACAAAAAAGAATAAAAATAAATAAACAGGGTGAAAACCGTTGTAAATATTGAGAAATCTTGAAATTTAAGTACAACTTTATATGTCAGTTTTTTTTTTAAGAAAATGACTTGTAAGTTATGAATGCACTGTTTTAGTCTTTGTTCAGCAAGCAGTAGACGCTGTTTCTCGGTTCATGAAATGTGGTTAAATGTTCTTTAGTATTTTGCATAAATCTTAACAGGCAGTGGAAAAGACTTCAAATGAGTAGGTTTTAGTATATATTGTTTCTCCTGGGTATTCTGGCATGTGCACATGCTTCCTTTCCCATATTTTTTTCTCTACTGAATTGCCACATCATCATTCTTTTTGAGAAACGTTGGGAGAGTTACTAGTACTTTGAAATTTCTCTTGAGGGTCTGGCCCTAAATAGATTTAATATGACTTATCTAGAGTACTTTTGCTTATAAAATTATAGTTTATAATTTCTTGGCATTAGAGTTATGCTTAACTTTTACTTAGAAATTGAGTGTAGGGGAAATAAAAAATGCCTTAAAACATGTTTGAAGCTGTATGCAGAAGTAAACCCATGCTTTCTCTGCTGTCAACCCTGAAGTTACCAGTACATTTTTTACTAAACCAGGTGTGTTTTATGCGAGCCAGTTTTCACCATGGATGTCGTAGAGATATTTGTTCCTTGGAATTATGTGCTGTCCAGTACTAAGGGTTTTGAGCTGTAGTCAGCTCTTTTAACGGTGTTTCTCGTCTAAGAATTTGGGTTACTGTTTTCCTTTAGAATTTTTTCATTTTTTTACGGTTAATGACAGGGTAGCTTTTGGAGTTTCTTCCTTTTAAGACGATCTTTCCTTAATTTGCTTAACAAAATTGCTTGAATTCTTTATTTGGGCTTTAGGGCATCTTTAGTTTTAGCAGTTCATTTTTCCAACTCTTAGACATTTTTTAAAATTAAACAGCATTTCCCATTAAAACTAACGTGCAGTTGGTAAGATTACCAGTAAGATAAAATCGCATGAATGTTCTTAGATGTGTTGTAATTTGGCATCAATCAAGTGAACTGGGAGGTTCAGTTATTCTGAGGGAAAATTTTCATTGCCTATACCTGAGATTTAAAAACACTGATATCCCAGGGTAAAGGTTAACTGCTTGTTTCGTATTTTATTGTTAGGCTCGTTAGCAGCGGCTCAAGATCTTACGGAAGATGAAGAAACAGTGGAAGATTCTATAATTGAAGATGAAGACGATGAGGCAGAGGTAGAAGAAGACGAGCCCACAGATTTGGTTAGTGCTGCACTCGGTTTAATATGTGTATATAATAGGGTTTATCCCTTTTATAGACAAACTTGGTATTAAGATTCTTGCTTTTAGAGGTTTATTAATGGGATCAAAGTGGATTGAAATTGGGAGAATAGGGCCAGTCACTGAGGATGGATTGTAAGTATTTTCTTAGCACAAGGAAGGAGACATGAAACAGATAACAATCCAAAATTATGTCAACATGAGTCTGTGAGGGTAAAATGGCAGGACCACTGGATCACTTGCTGATGGATTTGGGATACATACTAAACTTTCTGACCTTGGGTAACTTACCTCTCTGGGTCTTAATTTCCTAAGAAACCAGATAGTCTCTCTGCTCTCTCATGTTCTTGGGGCAGCGTGTATGTATTTTGGTGGCAGGGAGTGAGGAGCAGACAATAATAAATACATAAGATACGTCCTGAGAAAAGAAGGGGCTTAGAGAAGATCTCTTAGAAGTTGTCCAGCTCTGAAACTTTTACTGTAAAATTATAGTATGACAGTAAAATACTATGCTAGAGTTAGGATCGTTGCAGCATGCTTCTAGCAAATTTTATTTTTCTCTCTTGGACTACTGTAGTTTATCCTACACAGGATTTTTGTTTAGCCACTTTTTTTTTTCAGTTTTATTAGAATTGTTACAATTTGACTGACATACAGTATATTGCGTGTAAACACATATATACAACATGCTGTGCATTTTTTTTTAGTTTACATGTATGTACTGTTCATTGTTTCTGAGAACAGTTTAGGACTTTAGCTTTTTAAACTTACATAGTTACCGAAAGAATAAAGCCAACTGCAAAATAAGAATCAACAGAATAGAGTAGTCCAATCATAAAGGACCATGAAATGTCCTTACACATATTTAAGAAATCAGTCATCTACGTTATAAATAATAAGTAGTTCATTTGTGTCCCTTTTTTAAAGAAAGATTATTCATATAAGTGATATGGCATTTTTCTTTCTCTTTCTGGCTTACTTAGTATGACGATCTCCAGGTCCATCCATGTTGCTGCAAATGGCATTATTTAGTTTTATGGCTGGGTAGTATTCCATTATATATGTATATACCACATTTTCTTTACCCAGTCATCTGTTGATGGACATTTGGGTTGTTTCCATGTCTTGGCTATTGTAAATAGTGCTGCTGTGAACATTGGAGTGCCTGTGTCTTTTTGAATTTTATTTTTCTCTGGGTATATGCCCAGGAGTGGGCTTGCTGGATCATACGGTAAGTCTATTTTTAGTTTTTTAAGAAATCTCCGTACTGTTTAACCACTTTTAAACTCCAAAATCAGTTCTCTCTGTGAAGTCTTAGCAACAACATTGCCATCGATGTCAGAAGTGAAGGCCATCAGGTGTGAACTCTTAACAGATTTTCTGCCATCTACTTTTAAATGTATTATTCACCCATCTTTTCTACATCTCTTGTTTAACAGTGAGTTGTCTTTCTTCTAAGGCTGGCCGTGCCACCTTCTCCTCACCTCGTCCTGTGGGATCTTGTTAATTACCTTCTTTCTTTCTGTAGCTTGAAGCATTGAATCTTCTCAGTGACTTGGTTGCTAAAACTACAAATGTCTTCACATCCTCTGTTTTGTGTTCCTCCACCTTAAGTTGCTACACATTTTCTTTTCTTTACCAGCACACTCCTTGAAAGAGTAAACTGTGCAGCTTTTCTCTTCTGCTCATTTCACATTTGTTCTCTAACTGTGGTTAGTCTGGTCCCATGTATCTGGTAAAACTGTTCTTGCTAAGTCACCAGTGACCTAATTGCAGAATTCCTGGCCTGTTTTCTGTTGTTACCCTGTGTGACCTCTTTAGCATCTGCCGAGTACCCCTTCCTTGATTCCCCTCATGTTGACTTCCGTCGCGCACCCCCCCACATTCCTCTGTTTTCTCCGTTCCAGTGGCTGCTGCCTGGTTTCTACTACCTTCTCTCTCTCTCTGTGGATAAAACTGGTGGTTTTAACTACAGCCACCTTATACAGATGACTTCCAGATCTTGTTTCTAGCCCCCTGCCTTACTGAGCTCCGTACCTCTGCTTCCAGCTCTTTGCAGGACAGCACATCTGGAGGTTCCATAAGTACCTCAAATCTTAAACGTCCAAAACAGAACGCAGCATTTCCCACCCAGCTTACCTCCACGAATGATTTCCTTTATTGATATGTCTCCATGCTTCAAGCTTTTACCCTGTTGCTTACATTTCTTTTTTATTCCACAACCTACTGATCAAATCTTAGGGATGATTTCTCTTAACTGTTTCTCAAATATATCCTTTTTTCCTTATTCTTACGGCTTATGGTTCTTACCTTCCTGACTCCGGTCTGTTTTCCTAATGGTGGGTCTGTTTTCCCAAAAGTAGAAACTCACTGTTACTAGATGAAGGTATTACTAAAGATATTGAAAATATGTATCATTAAAGATGCTTAAAATGTAACTTGTAATACAGTTGCACAGTCATCGAACAAATGGTTTGAGTGCCTTCTCTTAAGCACATGAGCTGCGTGTGGAATTTTTAAACTATAAGACAGTCTTTGCTCTTGAGAGGTCTGTCTATTGGGAGAGAATATTTACTTAAATGAAAAATAAAATGGCAGTAAGCAGTGGTGCCCTTCAACATCTCCATTTATTAAGGGCCTGGACACTTCAAATATTTGAATATCTGTAATTCTTATTGATGCCTGGAGAAATACTGCACTGGGGTTTAAATTTTTTAATTAAAATTTGTTGACTTTTTTTAACAATGTTACTGAAATATAATTTACACTTGATATTTGCTCATTTTAAGCATGCAGGTCAATGATTAACAGTAAACGCTGCAAGTTGTGCAAGTCTCCCTGAATTACAGGACATCTCCCCAGTTTTCCCTGGTCGCTGTTTTTTTTTTGAAAACCATTTCTTCCAAGTTGTGTGAAGACTTCTCACAGGGAAATTCTTTTGTTAATCGGGATGGAAAATCTTTTCGGGGATACCCAGGCCCTAGACGGGGGGCAACGTGTGGCTGCAGGCCAGCCGTGCCCAGGCCTCTGCCTGCTGTCTCTGGCCGCTTTCATGCTGCCGCGCAGGTCTGTAATCACAGCAGGGGCCTCGTGGTTCCCAAAACAGAAAGCGTTTTGTCTGAGTCCTCAGGCCGGCACCACCTTCCAGGCCTTGTTTCTTCAGGGGCGTCAGCAAAGACTGAGTGTGGGACTTTCTCTCTTCCTGGAGGATAGTATTCCTGGGATTTAAACTAAGGGGGAAAAATAAAATCTATTTTAACTAGAAATTAAATGTCCCTTTGAAAGATACTGTTTTTAAACTTTTTTTCAAACGTTACTGAAAATTTACCAACCCACACTCAGAACCTTGCATTGCAAAGTGTGGTCTGAGTACCAGCGTGGTTGGCTTTCCTAGGTTCTTGTTAGAAATGGAGAATCTCGGGCTTCCTAGGCCTGAATCATGGCTGCAGGGGCGCCGGGGGATCGCTCTGCACTTTTCTGTGTGAGATACGCTGCTATTGAAGTTGTATTTTAACTGATGAGATACAATGAAATTCATTCCACTCTTGGTCCCAACACAGTGTTGGGGAAGCAGTGTATTTTGTCCCAAATCTAGTGAAGTCATTATTCTTAAATGATGTGTTTTTCCCTCATAGTAATCTGTTTTTCATGTTTTTCTTAGGCTGAAGATAAAGAGGAAGAAGATGTATCTGGGGAGCCCGAAGCCTCACCGAGTGCAGATACAACCATCCTGTTTGTGAAAGGAGAAGGTGAGAGAATTCTTGGTTTCACTCAGATATGGGAATTTTAAAAATGACAGGCGTGCTTTTAGAGGAAGTCTTAATAATGATTAAGATTTTACTGTTTTACAAGTTTCCATTACGAGCATAGTGCAGACACACGTCGGCGGAAACCCTCTTCTGTGTGTGAATGCGTGTGTCTGTAAAACTAAGGGAAAAAATACTGTCCTCTCTAACTAGAAATTGAATGTCCCTTTGAAGGATACTGTTTTTAAACTGTTTTCAAACTGCTGCAGTATAACAGCATTCATATTTTGGGTGTAAACGTTAGTGAAATATTAAATCTTTACAGTTAGGCCTTGATTAGAGCCTCCGTTGCATTAAAAGAAAATGGACTAAAGGCTTGGATTTACTGAGTGCTGTGGCAGGCACTGTTTTCACTGTTTTGCTTGTATTATTCAGTCCTAACAGGACCCCTGAGAGAAGAGTTACTGTTGTTAAACTGAGATTTAGAGGGGTCAGGATGTGTCCAGGTTACTCAGTAGGCAGTGTGGACACAGGATTCAGACCCAGATCTGTTTGACCCCAGAGCTTGTGCTGTAGCAGATGGAACCGCTCTGTAGACCACAGGATATCATCGAAGGCTTATTATTGGAAGTTATTCATTTTCTTGGTCTTCTCAAGTTTTCTGTTTTATTCCCACGTACTTTCCAACTCTGTACCTACAGAGAGTATATTTCATTAAGAGGATTTTTTTTCCTTTTTTTTGTAGCTGCCTACTTGGGTCTTACTCAAATTTGCATTTTGACTCATTGCTTAAAGTAGATGAGGACTGCTCGATTCACTTTTTTATGTTCAAACAGATACTACACCTTTCAGGTGAACCTCTTAGACATTGTCATTCTTCCCTCCACTGTCTGCACAGATAGCAGACACTGAATTGGAGGTGAAAGTGACTCCATCAAGACCTGTAGCCCCACTGCAAGAAAATCTTACTGCTAAAAGCACACAGCTTCTTCTTAGACATGTAGCTTGGAAGTGATCTGGTCTGCAGTTGAGATGCTCAGCTCAGCTGTTGAGCTGGAATGCTGGCGTACAGACACAGGTTTCAGCCGATGTGCAGGCTAGTGAGTTGCCAGTTAGCGGATGTCTGGAGTGCTCTACTGAAAAGGGTTCTGAAACCAGGTCTGTATATAGCAGGAAATCTGTATGTTACAAAAATCCGTTTGTAATGTCTGCTTATTTTGTACCCTTTGAATGTTTCTAATCTTCCGGTCTCTTTTTTGGTTTCTTAGATTTTCCAGCAAATAACATTGTGAAGTTCCTGGTAGGCTTTACAAACAAGGGTACAGAAGATTTTATTGTTGAATCTCTGGACGCCTCTTTTCGATACCCTCAGGACTACCAGTTTTATATCCAGAATTTCACAGCTCTTCCTCTGAACACTGTAGTGCCGCCCCAGAGACAGGCCACTTTTGAGTACTCTTTCATCCCTGCAGAGCCCATGGGCGGACGGCCCTTTGGTCTGGTCATCAATCTGAACTATAAAGACCTGAATGTAAGCCCCTCTAAACTGTCTTCTTTTTCTTCTTCTTTTTTTGATTTAGGGATGGGTGAGGACAGTTGACATTGTTTAATGGATATTCTGTTTATTCATTCAAGTGCCTTTTTTGTGGTTGAAACTGATAGGCAGTGGGGAGGCAAAGATAAAATGCACATTCCTGCCTTCGGCTCTGTGAGGCACTGGGGCAGCTGGATGTAAACAGTATCACAACGTGAAAACGGTACATCCTAGAGGTGAGTGTAGGGCTATGAGAGTGGAAGTGACTTAGCCGGACCCCGAAGGAAAAGGAATAGTAAGCCACACAGCGGGATTTGCTGCTTATCCAGATGTTAACAGATGTTGAATAATTTTTTTACCTCCTTTTGTTGCTTGCATTTTGCCCATTTTACGGCTTCTGTTGTTAAGTATTAAAGACTGTTTTTCTATCATTTTATATACTCGTAAATAAAAATATAACCAAAGATTTTTAGGATATTAGTAAGGCTTATGGTTTATAAGAACCAAATGGCCATAGATAAGCTCTGTTGTCTTTCTCATGACATTTTGCTGTCTATAGTATATGTGCACCAAAGGAATGAATGAATCAATGAGTGAGAGAAGCCCGGCGAATCTCACTGCTGGGGGTTGACCTCTAGCTGCCAGCCGTTACATCCCCCTTCAGATGACAGCACATCTGAACCATGCCCTTTTCAAAAAGTCTTCAGAGAAGGAAATTCCATCCTCTCTTGGAAGCTTATTCAACTTTTTTTTGATACCCTGGTGTCAGCATATTTACTTTATGTTTGAGTTAAATTTCTCATACTGCCATTAAGTTTTCCCTTTTTTTGAAAACTACTTAGTGGAAGGTGAGAACGTTTTTTTTCATTCTTATCTTCAAAGCAACATTATTATACTTTCTCAGTTTTATAGTAAGTAGCTTGAAGGATTATAGAGTTCATCTTGTTTTCAAGCAGAATTAAACTTAATCCAACAAGCATATATGTTTCAGTTCCATTTTGAATGTTTCATCTTGGAATTGCCTGTGAGAGGAATGGTAATTGAAAGAGCCTGGAATAAAACTTAAATTATCACAGTTTAGCATTTGGTAGTGACAGTTTTGAAAAAGTGCTACTTTGATGCTTCACATAAAACACTGGACACAGCTATCTTTGTTTTTTCCAAGTGATTCTCATGTATTTGAAAACTGAAATTGTGTTGAGCTGACAAAATTATTTTGAGACCACCACAGAAAAATGTTTTGGCATTGAAAGTCCTTGGCCTATCTAATATAAACTGAGTTCCAATCCATTGTCAATGTAGAACATGAAAATTTGTAGCCATTTTTTCTTTTATAGGAGAAAGTAACATAATGTTAAGTCCCTGGCATTGCATTAGCGCAGTTACATGACTTTGCTGAGTCTTACTGACCCAAGTGATGAGAAAGCTGTAGATAAGGTGACAGTTCTAAGAAATCTTGTAAGCTTTCATTCTTCAGTGCATTTTTTTCCCCAATGCATTTCATATTTTTGGGATTTATTTTTTTTTTCCAACAGGGCAATGTATTCCAAGATGCTGTCTTTAATCAAACAGTTACAATTATTGAGAGAGAAGATGGGTTAGACGGAGAAACGTAAGTGAAAGTTGCAGTATGTAGATCTTGATCTTAAAAGGTGGGACCAGAAGGCTTGCTTCTGTCATATTTTTTTAATGGTGAAAATGGAGCAGGCTGGAGATTGAGTGAAATCCTGACTACTTAAATCTGTACTTTGATGGTTCCAAGTTAGGAAAGATAGTCAAAACTAACGAAAAATTGTTTTAAAAGGAAAGTTGGTTTTTTGTTCTTCCTTTTTAAAATTGTTTTCCACCCCATCCTTTTAAGCTGGTAGTAGCCTCATCTAGGTTGTATACCTCTAAAATTGCTACTGAGAACATAAATTAGAAAGTTGGAAGGTTTTATCTCAAGAAACATGTTCTTTGTGAATGATGATTCATTTTGCACTGTGTTCTGATATGTAGTTCACTAAAAGTCATTTTTAAATAAAGTTGTGCAAAATCGAATATTTAAGGAAGACAAAACCTAGTGTAGTTATTTTAATATAACTGAGCTTTGAATATGACACTATAAAGTCATTTATTTTAGATCACATGATTGCGTTTTCTCCCTTTGGACTAATAGTTCTTAAAGTAAAGGTAGATTTCTTACCAAACTTTACTACCTGGATCTAAGCTGAATTTTAAATAATTTATTCTTTTCTCCACAAATTATTTGGAAAACTTATATCTTGTTAGGGTTATAGTTGTAGTTAACTCATAATTCTTAAGAGTTAAAGCACAGTTATAGTTTTAATAAGCTGTGGTATTTCTTAGGAACTAAAACCAGTTTGTATTTTCTCCTTTTTATATCAGAATCTTTATGTACATGTTTCTGGCTGGCCTTGGGCTCTTGGTGGTGGTTGGCCTTCATCAGCTCCTAGAATCGAGAAAGGTAAGTGTGAAGGTGGACAAGCAGCCCCCACAGCTCTGCTCCAGGAGCTGTCACAGTTCTGCGTACAGTACCGTCTCGTTGTTCGTGGCTTCTTACTCTCACTGTGGGTTTGTATGTTCACAGGTTGGTTGTCCGTTTTTAAAATAAAGCCTGAAGATGAGGTCTTGAGTGTGATTGGGGTTTGTTTAGACTTGCAGTTAGTGTCCTCTGTCCACATCCTCCAGAGTGATCCTTACTTTTTTATTATTAGTGTAACTCTAAGTTATGCTGAAAGTTTTAAAACTCAGACAAGATTTCATACTTCTGTTTATTGTACTTTTTCATGGATATGTTATTTTATCTGTAAGCAGTAATATTTTTTACTATAAGGCTGATTCCTAATTAGCATTTAAATGAGTCTTCATTTGAAAAAGAAAGAATGAATTTCGCTGTATTGGTTTCATCAGTCAAAATTCTGTTTCCTTGTTAGACTAGTAAGTGGTAACATTGAAGCCTGCTCTAATCCTGGCTTCCTGTCTCTGAACGTGGCAGCTAACTCTGCCGCCATGTCCTCGTCTCCCTCCTCCTCCTGCCCCCCACAACCCCAAAACAAAATAACCCACACTGTCCCTCTTAATGTATAGCATGATTTAAAATCGCCAGATATACTGGGATCCACTAGACCCTAAACAGTTGGTAGACATTTTAGTTAATCTTCATGAAGCAGTGAGTCAGGTAGTCAAATCTGTATAAAATTAGCAGTAAATGTTATTAATAAATCCTTACTCTTTAAAAGAGAAATACTTTATGCTTAAATGCTAATTTTCATGACTTTCTTTACCTCATTTTTATAATAGCTTTTTGCTATAAATTTATGTATTAGGTATAAGCCATTTTTTCAGCTGTATTTCTGTATTCAGAATCTAATTTTTGCACTATAAAAATTAATATTCTGTTTCTTATGTAAATAGGTGGGTTGTTTTGGGTTTTTTTCAAAAATAGGACTAAACAGTGGAATTAAGTAACTTTCCTACTTTCTAGCTGTTCTGCTGCAAATACTGAAGGAACAAATTTTGAGGTGGTTAGCATAGATGACATTTTATGTTTTTGTTTTGTTTTATCTATACCAACTGTTTAAGTATATTTAGCTAACAATGCAGGAATCTGCCTGCATGCAACATTTCAGTAATTATCCCAAATTTTGTTGAATGTGGAAATAAATTTATTCTTTAATATTTGATTCCCAAAAGGAACGAAAATCATTGTATAAACAGAAATTATTACTTGATCTGTCAATTGTGTGATGAAGCTTTATAGCAGAGGAAAAGTTCTTTAGAGGCTGAAAATAATTGTTGTGAAGATTTATTCTCCATTATTCTTTATTGGTGTAGACATGATTTTCCTTGTCTAGTTAAAAAATATTTGAGAAATATGTTTTAGAACTAGAAGAGTACATGTTTATCTACTAAGATATTTAAATGGGTAATCTGTTAGGTCTTTTTAAAATTATAGTAAACAGTATAACAGATCTCCTTTAAAATAATGGTTTTATGTTCTTTTAGCGCAAGAGACCCATACAGAAGGTAGAGATGGGTACATCAAGTCAGAATGATGTTGACATGAGCTGGATTCCTCAGGAAACTTTGAATCAGATCAGTAAGTACTCTTACAAACTGGCTAGGAAATTTTTCTCTTAAGTGGAAATTAAATATCTTAGGTTTAGCAAAAAATGCTTGGTCAATGCTGATTACCACTTATCTTTTCATTACTTGCAAAGAGTGCTTTAAAATTTTACTGTGTACTATGTCTGTGCTTTAATTTAGAAATGCTTCCAGATCTGCAGTTTGTATACAAATGTGTGAGTTCTCTGTATTCCTAACCTTTTCCTATCTCTTTTCTTTCCTGTTGCTTCAGTGCAGAGTAGAAGAGGTGAGGTGATTAATTTCTTTATGGTGTCTGATACAGTCCTGGGGGCTCTTGTATAGCATGTGACTACTTTACAATAAGTGTAATGGATAACCGAACTGTTCTCTAGCACTCTATTAGAAAAACTAACTGCCAACTACCCACCATATGTGAAAGAATAAACCTACAATACTGCCCAGTAGTTTACCTAACATATATTTCAGTTTTATTATATATGCAATTGGTTAAATGTTAATCTTTATAGAAGAATGTAGGTTTATTTTTCCTCCAGTTGAAAATGGACTTTTTCAAAACACTGAAGCAATATGGTCTCATTGAGGGGGAAAAAAGTAGTGAAAAACTAAGACGACCTCCTGCCTCTACTAATCCCATTTTCCATAAATTATTGGTGTTGCCGTGTTATTCTGAGTGTTTTCTGTGCAGACATCGGCATGTCCGTCTGTCGTTCTGTATGCATGTTTACACAGACGGCATCACGCGGCACACACCGTTCTGCAACCTGAGTTCTCTGTCTTGGCTTTTTGTGATAATTGTATGTTTACCTCATTCTTTTTAATAAAGTGTGTCATGATTGATTAAGCCTGTTCTACACTGAAGGATGTTTGTTATTTCCAGCTTTTTGGTCTTAAAATTAAAACTGTATTGAATATTCTTATGTATAAACTTACGGGATAATTTCCTTTTTTAATTGAGGTATAATTGACATAACATTAGTTTTGAATGTACAACATAATGGTTTGATATTTGTATATATTGTGATGTGATCATCACATTGTCTAGTCAACACCATTCCACACAGTTACAGATTTAATTTTTCTTTTGATGAGAACTTTTAAGATCTAGTCTTTTGGCAGCTTTCAGATACACATACAGTGTTGCTAACTGTAATCACCATGCTGTATGTTACATCCTTGTAACTTATTTTATAACTGGAAGCTTGTACCTTTTGGCACCCTGTTCCTATTTTGTCCACTCCCCTACCTGGGATAGTTTTTTAAAAGCCAAATAGTTAGGTCTAAGATCATGTACATTTTAGTTTTTATGGAAAGTGTCCCATTTCCCTCCCAACGATGGTGCCAGTTTATGTTCTCAAGAAGGTGCAATATTGCCTGTTCTCCTCCCCTCTGGCTAGTCATTCTCAAGTTTATCAGTGTTTCAATTTGTCAAAATGATACAAAATAGTATCTCATTTTTCATTTATGGTTAAGAATGAGGTCTGGCTTCTTCACACATACTTGATTGGCCACTTAGTATTTCTTTTTCTGTGAATTGGCTGCTCAGGTCCTTTCCAGGTTTACAAGTTGAATTGTTGTTATCATTACTTTCAGTGAACTCTGTCTGTCTATGGAAACAGAAGTGCAGTACGGTAGGCGTTTTAGTGAGGGCGCAGGGAGGGACTTCCCCATCCAGGAGAGGAAGGGAGTCATTCCCAGAAGGGGTGGACATTTGGCTGGATTCTTGCGTTCTGTGAGGAGTCTTTAAGGTGTTACATGCTCTGCTCAGCACTTCTGACTTTCCTTCTAGGTAAATGGCAGCTATCAGATACTTTAAAGCAGAAAAATAACAAAGTTATCTTTAAAGAAAAAAATTCACAGTTGTGTGGAGGCTGGCTGACCAGCAGGAGCTCCTGGACGCAGGGACCACAGTTAGATACTTTCCACAAAACGAGAAATGACCAGGGCCTGGGCTGAGGCCTGGGAATAAAAGGGAATAGAAGGCATTTTAGAAGTGGAGCCGATTGGGCTCTCAGTGTCTTTCTGGTTGTTTTAGGAAAGGAGGGAGTCAGAGTACTGAGTTTAGGCAGCTGGATGACCCAGTAACGTTAGGAGGAGGGGGGTGCCTGTGTGCCAGGAGGGCTGAGTTTGGGTTGGATCTGGTCAGTGTGAGGAGCTCATGAAACTGTCACGTAAGGGTGTGTCCAGTAAGCGTGTGAAAGCTGTGTTGAGCAGAAGCAAATTAAGATGTGGAGGCACTGGGACGCACAGTGCAGGTCCCAGGGCCTCAGCGCTGTGCACGCTCCTTCTCTGGAAGGACGACCTCCCCGCATCATGCTGGCATTCAGTGCAGCAGCAGGCGGAATCGGGTTGAGGTGTAGGCTCTGCGGTGCCTCAGAGTTAACTCGTGTAGGTTGAGGGGTTGGTTTCAGAGCATCTTTCTCCCTGACATTGTTATTCGTGAACTTAAAAGCTGTGTTCTCAGTGGTTTTGAAGCTGCTGGTCTGGATCGCACTTTGAGAAGCATGGTCTTAGGACGTGTTTTTTTAGAGTGAAGGGGTTGAACCAAACTGAAGGTAATTTAGCCAGAGCCATTTCTTTCAAAGATAGGACATGGACTCTGCATATTTGAGGACAGAAAGCAGGAGAACTGTTGAAGATGGTGGAAGCCTCCTCAGGTGTGTGAGGACCAGCAGGTCCAGGAGGCCTGGGCCTGTTCGGCAGGAGCTTTTTCTCATTTTTCGCAGCTCTCAGAGGGCGAGTCTCACTCAGAGTGTAAAGGAACGAGGGTGGTTTGCAACAATTCGAGCTGTGACTGAAAAGTTGCCTCCTGTGTCTTACATTTCGGAGTAGGGTGCTTCAGCTTCCCTGAAGTCTTTTACCTGTTAGTGCTAGGTTAGCTGATTTTAGTAGAAAATTATAGGATTTCTGCTAAATACTAGGGATATGTCTGTCTAGGGAAACCTTAGTCAGAAGCTGTAAGCATGAAGTTTCCTGTGCACTTTGGCTTAGGGACTTGTTAGAAAACTGGGGCATAGCTTACTAACTTAAAACAGTCTGCCTGAGAGTCACCTGCGTCCACGTCCCGCAGGTGAGGCAGGAGGCTAGGCGAGGCGCGGCCCCAGGAAGGGGAGAGGGGCCGGTGTGGCCGTCTGCGGGCGCTCCGTGTTCTCTGAAGTGAGCGCGGTGCCGTGAGTTTTACTACAGCTTAGTCAGGTGACTTTCTTGAAAGTCTTTTTTTAGTGGGCAGGGGAGGGGTTTTTTTTTCCCCAAGTTTTTTAGGGTTTGGGGAGGGAGTGATAAGAGGGGGTGGTTTTCCTTTGATGGCTGAAAAGCATCGTTACACACACCAGTTACAGTGTTCTCTGCTGAAATAAAATGCCGCTTTCTAGGCTGTTAAGGCATTTGGAGCCATTGTCCCCAAACCTAAATGACTCTTAAGTTGCTCTCTCACTCAGTGTCTCATTTGTCTGCTTTATTTTGTGATGTGCTAGACAGGTGGATGGTGAAGGTTGTGGACTAATAGTTAAGGAGAGTTGATCGGCTGTCTTACTGCTGCGGTGCAGCCCGTGTAGTGAATGAGCAGGCGCTGCAGGTCCTCCGAGGCTCCCACGTGCTCCTGTATTTAAAGCCCTGCTGCAGGGGGGACGCTGTTGGGAGTCAGTAAGCCCACCTCACATCAGCTTGGTGACAGCCGTGTCCACACAGACAGCGACGAGATTCTGAAGTGGTTTTTGGGAAAAGGCTATATTCAGCATATTGTTTATTTTTGAAGATTATTCAGAAATAGAAAACGCACTAATTTGTTAGTCTAACCTTTTTGAAAACTTGGTGAAAGCTGTAGGCTGTCTTCATCAGAAAAATGCTTCTGTGCTCAGTTTTAGGCACATGGAACCCTCTTAACACATCATTATTAACCTACTTAATAAAGCACTGAGTTTTCATGTGATTCTTAGACTCAGTCTTAATATTTCAGTCATTAACTCTTAAGCAGATTTTAAGAGAATTTTTAGGTTCTACATATTCTTGGTTAACATTTGATTTCTGTTTTTTAAATATAGGTATGGTGATCTAATAATTTTGGAAAATAAAAATTAAGATCTTTCAGGCAAATTTTTCCGTATCGTCATTCATGAAACAAACCCCATACTTTGGTGAAAACATCTTTTCCAGCCCTTTCACTTTAGTTTTTAAACTGGAAAAATAATTATGGTTTGTGACACATTCCACCAAGGACATATCTTCCTATTATGTTAGGAGCTCCTAGAAAATAAGACAAAGTGGTCAGAGAGAAGACAGCCTTTCACTTTTTATAGAATCGGTAACTCCTTTAACCTGCTGCTCATTCCAAGTAAATTTATGAAATTGCCAAAAATTACACAAACTGCTTGGCTGTATTTGTAGATATTAAGTCTTTAATTTCTAAGCAATATAAAATTTTTAAATGTTCTCTCTAAAGAAATATAAACATGCTAAATTGTAGAATTCCAGAAGATTTTGTATGGTAGCTTCAACAGTACAGTGACGAAGATTAGATCTTTTATCGCCCTAATTGCGTAGGTTTTTTAATTGACATATAATATAATGCTGTGTTAATTTCAGGTGCACAACATGATGGATATTTGTAGACACTGTGAAATGATTACCACAGTAAAGCTAGTTACTGTCTGTCCCCATACAGAGTTACCAAAACATTTTTTTCTTGTAATGAAAACTTCTAAGGTTGGCGTACAGCAACTTTCAAATGCATAAAGTTTTACTTTGAGTTACCTCTTGAAGGATTATTTGAAAGGTTAGTTAAGAAACCTATGCTGGGTAAGAGGCATGGTCTTGCATGTGTGTTCGTTTTTTGAATTTAAGGGTAAAGCTGAAGGAGAGTGTTTCTGTTGAACACATATATAATAGTCAGGCAAGTTAAAACTTTCTCTTTTCTTCCAGATAAAGCTTCACCAAGAAGGTTGCCCAGGAAACGGGCACAGAAGAGATCAGTGGGATCTGATGAGTAAATGTTCTTTGTGCAACAATTCGGTCTTTACGTAACCTGCCCTAATGTTTTTCGGCCTGATGGGAATTAGTGCAGAGAAGCCGTGTCACCATAGGCGGCAGCTACTACCGTGTGTGGACTGAGCAGAGTCTGTGGCGATAATATTGCTGAAAATGCACTGCATTTATTTTTCTAAAGTAACAAATTTGGTTTTTTTAAACCATTAAAATCTGTGTGTGTGCGTGTGCAAGTATGCGAGCGGTTGGTCTTACGAGAGTCATTGTTGGACTCCCTGCAGCGTGCCTTAAGAATACCGACTGTCATGCTGTTGTCTCTTCCTTTTGGACGTTTTCCCCCAAAACTTGGTATTTGCCGAAGATGATTACAGATGTCCTGCCATGGGCTGATAAAGAAAACAATTGTTTCTTAGACTAGCTCAAGTCCCGACTGCTAGCACAGATTAGCACACTGTTTGTCTTTCACCTAGTATTCTCGAGGCACGCGCAGGGGTGGCTGCTTTTTAGCACTAGGATTGTTTTGGTACTTTGCTGCTGTTTCCTGTAATGCGCACCTTCAGAAGACTTCCCAAATGAGTGCAAGGAATTTGGGGATCTCTAGTACCAAGATTGTGAAACATGAAAATTCTGATTTTGATACATAAAACCAAGCCCTCTCGTTTTCTTTAAAAAAAAAGGGAAATGGTACATTTATGGAAACGGAATTGGTGTCCATTGTTCTATTTCTGACCCGAGATAGCTCTGGGATGAGCTTTTTTTTTTAAGAGATCATATTAGAAGCATCTTGCTTAAGAAAAGTTGCCTTGGTCTACAGACTAAGCAAAATTCTGACTAACCCTAATGTAGTAAAGAGTTGGAGAATTTTTAATGGTTAACAGTTATGTGTTATCTGATCTTTTGGGTATTTTAGTTGTTGGTAAAAAAAATTTTTTTTGGTCTGAAGAATTCCCAATTTTTAAGCACTTAAGATCTCAGAACCAAAATTAATTGGACTTCATAAAATTCCTCTTTGTACCTTTGCCCTAGGTAGTAAATTAAGTTCGGCATCATCGTCAGACTGGATAGGTGGTACAGTAAATAGTGTGGGCAAATGAGAGGCTTTTTCCCTCCGTCTCAAAGCCATATTCTCCCATGTATATTTTGTAAGGAAATAAGTGAAATTTTAGTGGGTGTTTAATTACTGATAATGTCTCATTATAATGAACTGACCCCCCCCTTTATTATAGTCCCCACCTGCACCCAAGCCCACACAAAAAAAACAGAACATGCATATGAGAAATCTTTCCAGGTTGTTGAAGTATTTAAACATCTGAGCCAAAGCCAATGACAATAAAACAGAAGTTACTGTATAGCTGTTAATTGCTTTGCAAGTAGGGGCTGAGGTGTCGAGTGAACTATATTGGCAGTGCTGAGCTGTACACTTCCTGTACCTGTCATGTCAAGTGTTCAGTTTTTAATTGGGCTGGATGATCAGTAGTTTATTTTGAAAAAGCTCTGTGAGCTCTCTGAAACTGCATGAGTTTTTGTTTGATGTAACGTAGGAGACCCTCCACCTTCTCAAGGAATGGATTTCAGAACACTGTTGTGAATGTCCAAGTCTGTGAAAGTATAGGACCTAGTGAAGTGAGGTGTGATTACAGAAGTTCAGTGACCTCCGTGGAGTGTTTCCGAATTCCTGGTGGCCCGCAGGCGGTGCGAGGCCACGCTGAGCTCCGGGTGCCGGGCCCTCCGACGCCCGGGTACTAGCCCTCCCACTTCTGAGCTTCACGGTAGTGCTTATTGTGTTTTATTTTTTAGCATAGGTTGGGAACACTTAAACGCCTCGGTCCTCGGAGGCTGAGGTCTCTGTAGTGTCAGTGTTAGCAGAAACTAACTCCATAATGAATGGAATTCAATTCCACACATGGTTTGTTCAAGCACACTTAATAAGTAGCCTGTTTTTTTAAATGTCTTTTTTAAATGTAAATATATGGATGAAGTTTTTGTTTTGATATATTAATTTGCTACACCAACCATGGTTTCAGAATTCACCTTTTGAACAACTTGGTTCCAGAGTCTGTAAAATGAGCTGAAAAACTTGTGTATCAAGCCTGTCCTGGGGACGTGAGAGATGGCGTGTTCATAAAGCATGGATCTCACCTTGGTTGTGCAGCCGCATCATTCATTCCATGGCCTCACATAGGAGGTGACTTGTAAGACTCTCTCTGCCCCCTTGGGTGGGAGGGACCTGGGACTTCCAAGGAGAAGCCTGAGGAAAGAACACGTTGGAAGGCGGGGGCTGTGGCTTGACTTTAGCGAAGTTTTTAATTTTAAATAAGCTTCAGAAAATAGTGACTTTGAAAAGTCAAATTTAGATCTTAAAAAACAAATTTAAAGGCCACTGCAAAGGTGTATTTGCAGTGCATCAGCCTGAAATTGTTTTAGCTCTGCTGGGAAGAAGCAGATGGTGGTGACTTGACACTGAAATCTTTCTCCAATGACTTGTGTCGTTTTGGAGCTAGAGGAGTAGATAAATGTGCTAAAATGTGAGGCTGCTGTACAGCACGCATCCCCTGTGATACTGTCACATCCACGCCCTTCGTGTGAAGAACATTTATTTGGTTATTAGCACATTTAAATAATGTACTTTTTTTTAAACCCTGAAACTTGGCAATACCATCATTCCTACAAGATTTTGATAAGTGATACCCATGAATTTAAAGACATTTCCAGATACACTTGAAGTAATTTACCACAGTTTGGGACAGCATCATTTATAGCTATAAAATTAGTAAATTTGCTCTAGTTGAGTAAAATCCTATTTTTCTTTGAACCAGCACCCGCAGCTCGGTGACGAGCAGTGTCACACACACACAGAACCCTGGTGTCGGTGTAAGTGGAGCGCAGGGCCTGCTGTCCAGCTCACACGTCCCTGAGCCCGTCGTCCTTAGAAGGTGACAGGAGGGAGGAGCAGAACTGGGAACTGGCTTGTAAACATCTAAATTTCTTTAGGACTCTTAGGATTTTATCGTTTTTCCTTTACACAAAAGCCTGGATTTTACTGTAGTTAAGTGTCTGAAGTTTTGGAGTTTTTCTTTTAGACTTCAGCATCACACAGGAATACGACCCTTGAGGTCTGGATGCCGTTGAGCTGCATCTTAAGGCAGTAGGAAAAAATTCATTTGCTAAGAGTCTGCCACGCACTGTGCTGTGCTGGGCCTTTCCCGTCTCTCACAAACCTTCACAACAGCCCACTGGCAGGAGGTGACGCTGTTCTCATTTATACGCGGGAAGAACGCAGCAGCTCCCGAGTTGAAGCAGCTTGTGTGAGGCTGCACGTTAACTGTGGATTCGCACCTGTCTTACTCTAAAACTCCCCTGTTCTCTCTTCTGCACCGTGTTCAAGAGGGAACTGCAAAACCAAGCGTTTGGTTTACAAAGCTTACAAATAGTTGATTTTCCATAATCCAGCAACTGGCAAGTTCATATTTAACCTCGTAGTTATTTATGTCAAAATCATGGCCTTTAAAACCATTTTCTTCAAGGTAGACTTTCTAGTTTGATTGGATTTTCAAGGATTGTAAGATTCAGCTTCGTGTTAGAGGTGAGACTAAAGCCTCTCTGTTCCTGGCTCATTTAGCCAGACAGAGTGGGGCTGGGGTCTTTCTGTTCAAGTAGGAGCTTCCCTCAAGAGGCACAACGGAGCACTAAAAAGAAAGTCTGGGGTCACCCAGAGAACACATGAAGGACAGGCCTTATTTCAGGTCCACAGATCACAGCTGCAGGTGACCTGACTAGGCCTTGTTTCCCCGCTTTCCCTCGTGCCAACTTTGTTAACGTACCTGTGACGACAGGCCCCCTTGGCGTGGCCGTCCCTCTGCCCGGGTGCGGGCTCTGTATCCTGCTGGCCTCCTTTACGGTCGTGGCATGGAAACCTGTCACAGGGGTTTAAAGAAGACAAGATGACGTGGGCAGATTTTCATTGCTCAGAGGTGGTCCGCTGGTCACCCAGGGGCACTGGCAGCTCTGCGAGGTTGAACAGAGATGGGGGTGGCGTGCGGGAAGCCTGGGGCCAGGCTGCGGTCAGCCTGGCCGCTGACCAGCAGTGACCTTGAGTGGTCAGCCTGGCCGCTGACCAGCAGTGACCTGGAGTGGTCAGCCTGGCCGCTGACCAGCAGTGACCTGGAGTGGTCAGCCTGGCCGCTGACCAGCAGTGACCTGGAGAAGGCAGCTCATCTCTGGACTCCCGGTTGGTTCTTTTTAAATTGAAAAATACTTGACGTGTCAGTCCCAGACTGTGTGATGGGTACCTCTGCCTAGTACAATGTTACTAAGTGGTTCTTCCCTGGAATCTAGCTTACTTGGCTAAAGGAGAGGGACTAAGGTGTAGAATGGACTCGCGTCAGACTGCCTGGGTTCAAATCCCAGCTCCCTCTTCTTAGTTGGAGGCCTTGGGCCTCAGCTTGGGGAGCCTGCCTCCTGGAGTGGCAGGTGCCTAGAATGTGGCCTGGCCCCAGGGGGCCATGTGAGCGACTGAGCAGCGCCTGCTGATGGCACCCCAGGACGCGTGCGAGAGGGTGTGGCTGCCACCTGCTGGACTTCAGTGTGGAGCCATAGGTAAAATCTACTGAACAAAAAAGTTAAAGTGCTTCCTAATTAAAGAGTAAAAGCCTTAAGGTGGGCGTGGAAGGCGGCCGGCTCTGTGGATTTAATGATGAACCTGAGGACTAGGGCTGCCAAGGGGTGTCTGTGCTCGTACTAGGTCTGCGAGGACCTGCACCCCAGTCCAGAATCACCTTTTCCAGAAACTTGGAGAGGCTGGACGTGTCCCTGTGACGCCAGGGCTATTCAGAAGAGTTTTGCGACTCCTCTCAGTTCCTTAAACCCTCAGGCCGTGAGCCACCCAGAGATCATCGGCCTTGCATTTTTGCAGAAATCCAGCCATCTGGTCACCCACTTTAATCACAGTTGTCAAAACAGGTGCTCAAGCTCTAAAAGCATTTTAGAAAGGAGTATGAGGTG